AGAACACGGAAATTTTAATGATTTTCATTTTACGATTCTACATGAATGCTCAATTTTAATGACATCACTCGTGGAGTCATGACAATCCTGGAAGGAAAATCTTGAAATTTAAATAAGTTACATGGATTGAAAAGTCATTGACATGGAGAATAACATGTAAATGTCTCAGAATAATTTAGAAACTTTAAGATGCAAGTTTGATGTATTCGTTGGTTAAAACCAATTTGCTGGTTGTTTTTATGCTACCATTTTCATAGAGTTGAATGTTGCCCATTGTATAGGCGATTGTATTTTCAATTTCATTTTGCAACAAATTGAAGGTTCAGTAATATTGAGTGATGTAAATGTATTTCATGATTATTTTAGCTGTCTTTTGTGGTTTCGAGCTCCAGTTTTTTTTAAGCCCCGTTTTATCTTGGTACTATAACACTGTCCATTAAAGGATCTTTTTCTGCATAGTAGCTTCAGTTCTACAGCATGTACCATCACCAGACTTTGTGGATAGCTTGTACATGTACTTGGGTTAGGGAAGAAACTGTCTTATTGGGGTTAGGAGACCACATTGGTTTATACACATTGACATCATCTCTGCCTCAGACTGTGGCCAGACTTGGTGGATACCTGTCACTTGGGGTAAGGAAGAATCCTGTAGGCTTTAGGGTCAAAAGGGTAAAGGTCATGGCCACTTTGAATGAAAGAAAATGGTTTCTACACAATATAATTAGTTCTACTTATGTGCCAGAATCAAAATACAACTGCATGAAGAAGAAAATAATTTCTGTGCAAAAAATTGGCTTAAACCATGTACCTACATTTATTTGGGAGTCAAAAGGTCAAAGTTGATGACTGAATATAGAAATGTCATTTTTGCAAGATAACTAGACTACTTGTCTTAACCACATTTGTGGTGGCCTTGCACATAAAGTATGAAAGATGCCTAATGACATGCTATATTTGCAAGGAAAAGATAACTTGTACTGATACAAGGCAAGATTTATTGGCACTTTCTTATTGGTGTTTTTCTAAGTTTTTTTTCCCATTTAAAATATACTTTTGAATAAGGAACAGATTCTCTTGACCTGTCTTGTCAACCCAAAAGATAGGTGAAAATGTTTCTTTTAAGTATAGATTCATTTGCTTGGTCATGTTTGTTGAAAGAGTGTTATAGTACAGATTATTGTTGGACACCTGTTTTGGAGATGTGATAATTAAGAGTCTTTTGTTTTGTGTTTGTAGAATTGATTTCAACTGCATCTATATGGAAAAGTTGTTAAATTTGTTGGACTAGTATATTGCATATTTATTGCTATATATATGCATTTGAAAAGTGCATGAACTTTCTGAACCTGCACATTAGACAGTGATCTAGTGGAGTTAATTTTGTCATAGCTTGGGTTTGTACAATACCTAGGTGCTTGTAGCATGTTATTTGATCATGTCTTAAATTTGCTGTGCCTTGAATTCATTGTCTTTTTCTTTTAGCTTGCATTATTTTAATAATTGGCACGGCATTACTTGTATCAAAATCCCACACACATTTTGTTTAAAATAATAGAACAGGCTGTTCAAGAACATATTGCTTTTGTTAATTAATGTATTGTGTAACTATTCTACAAAATATTTTTGTGTGTTGCCTATTTCTGTTTGACTTAAAGCAAAAACCATGCCAGTCCTAAGAGTCAGTTAATTAAGGATTTACAGGGATATATGAACATTGTGAATAAATTAAAATCTGGTTTTGAGAGGAAGCTATTTTATTTAGTCAATTATCAGGAATTTTAGACAACAAATGAATTTTGTTTCAATGGATTGAATTTTTAATATCCTATCAATTATTTGATTCCTCAATGGCGAGGTCCATTAGTCTGTCTTTTGAGTATGCATAATTGATACATTAATTGCATGATACCATGGGAAGTTTGTATTCATAAGTTAATGGATAAATTTGGCTCAGGCTTGTCTATATGTCCTTTGATCGCTGGTGTAACTTTTAACTCCATTAGCACTGATTAAAGTAACCTGTAACTTTACCCCACCCTGCATCAGCACAGATGGAATTAACTGCAACTTTAACCCCAACATTTTTTCCATTGACTGAAGTGGCCTTGAAATTTAAACCAGTTTATATCAATTCAGGAGCCCAGCAAATTGGACTGTTTGAACCAATTGCAATAACCTGCAGCATTAACATTGGTTACATCAATTCATTTTCGCTTGCCAAAGTTCAGATATGATAATCCTGGCTACACCTTGGCATACTAAGCAAATATTTCTTAGTTTCAAGTCTGTTCATTAGATGATGTGGCAAGCCACCACATCCAATCAAAATTAAGCTGTTCGATTTGAACATTGTTCCTACTGCCTGTCCATTTTTGTACTTTTCACTCAGATTCAATCATGATTGCTTCATTTTAGTATGTAGTCATACTTTTGATGTTAAGATTACAAACTTTCATTTTTAAGTCATTTATCTAAACTATTCCCGACCAGTGAACAATGCACTGCTGTTTCATTATTTTGGTTGGATCACATTATATACATAAGAGCTGGAACTCATGAAATCCAATAGACGTCGCTAGGACAAAGCACTAAAATATCTGTTCAAGTCACCAAGGTGTAGACATGGTTAACATATCGGAATCTTGGCTAGCAAAGATGACCTAGCCTGGAACTTGAATTCCTCTTGATTTATACTATCTTGCATGTTGCTCTTCAGGATTTTAAAGGAAGGCATTACAAGTGGGGTGAAGTAGGTGGGGGAAGAGACATAACAAAGTTCAGACATTTGCAATGGTTTTCATTTTTGTAATGGCTTATTTTTAAATTTTAAAAAATTTCCACATCTGGATGATTAGATCTATATAGATCATTTTTTCATGTGACCTTTTAAATGTACCTAGTCAGTATTCTGAGATTGGACATTCATTGATTTCATTCATTCATTGATTCATTGATTCATTCACAATTGTATATGTATTAATTGTATATGTATTTTTTTTGTTATAGGTTTTACTCTTGGATGATTGTTGTATGTTTGTATGCTTGTGACAGAGATAATGTTTTTGACCATTGTCCAAGGTCATTAAAGTTCAAGGGTCATGTAGAGGTAGTTCTTTTTGTGGACCCAAGGTCAAATTTTCATGAACACTATTAATATGTATAATCATGTTTCCTAATGAAATCCTTTGTTGTTAACAGCATATTAAATGAGCTCATTGATTTATTTAACAAAGGGGCCCATTATGGGTTTTAATACAAATAAAGATATTACATTTTTTTCCTCCGTTTCTACATGCGCACATATTACAACTTATCTTGAAATGCCAGATTTCAGGATTTTTGAACTTGTGGTTTGGAACGTAATACATGGTCTCAGTTAAAACTTTTACTAACTAATAATATAATAATACAATCTGTATAATTACTTTCCCCACTGATGGACCCCACAATTGATTCTTGTGGGTTTTTAGTTTGTTTTTTGTAATAATTATGATGCAGACAGTGAAATAATGTTGAATTTTGTTTATTATTAAATGTTTAATGTTCTTTAAAGACAGAAAAAAGGAAATTTGTGAAATAGAAATGAGTACAAACATTATATAACGTCTTCTCATTTATTTCCCTGTTAGGTATAGTACACAAGACTAGAAATTGGCATAATATATCTACGCCTGTTCTGATACCATCTCACCAATTTTGTCGGTCCATCCATTATCACATCCCTTAAACTGCTGTGAGGATGTAATGTCGTCTGAAGTAACTGCACTCAACTTGAGAAATTGTACAAAGGAGATTTTTCGTCAATAAATTCTAGTAAAATATGAAGCCTATATAAATTCCGACTCTCGCTTGCGTTGTGGTTTACCCTAATTTGCAAATTTGCAAATTGTGGAAGCCATGGTTCCAGAAGACCTTTGTAGAACAATACTTAGCTGAGTCTGATAGTGTTAATTGCAGACATTTATCTAACAACAAAAAACACAAATGTACATTCTACAATCACATTCAAACCTCGTTTCAACTTTCTACTCCCAGTCCTTTCTAAGATTGAATGTGCACTGGAATTGCCAAAAATGAAACATTTAGTGGAAAATTACATGTGAAATATTTACTTATAACCTAATTAATTCCAAATTGAAGTGTATCCGTTTGATTCTATTTTTAGCACTTTGACCTTAATGAGATACAAATTATGTGTTCAGGCACGTCGTCATTCTTTTCTGGGACCGGTTATGGTGGCCTAAGTGATCTCACCCAACCCCGATGCGGGAGGTCGCGGGTTTGAACCCCGGCCGAGTCATACCAAAGACTTACCAAAATGATACTTCGAGCTGCCTCGCCATGCGTTCACATGAAGAGGTTAGTGTTAGGACTTGTCGACCTGGTGTCGGGATAATATAACTGGGTGGGACATCGTGCTTTATGTCTGTGGCATGATGATCCAGTGTTAGACATAACTATGAACTGCCACAGTGTAGATATCGTAGCGATGTGACTCGGAAATTTTTAAAGCTACGTTAAAAATCCAAATCAATCACTCATACACACGCGTTCACGCATTCACATCCATTCATTTATGAATAGTATTCTTATTAAGACACGGAGAAAAATAATCACTTAAAGAACAAAATACATCATGATGGTTTCCTTTATTACAGCAAAACAGTCGTGTTTCTATATTGGAAAAAAAATCAGATTTCTGACAGGTCGTTAAGAGTATCCTTTCATATTTTCATTCGGAATGTTTATATATTTTACAGGGATAGTTTCATAGCTGTTATTCAAGGCAATGTGAATTATCATCGTCTAATTAGTTAACTAAAGCGTTAGTAAAGACTACATCTGTCTCCGTTACAATTTCAAAGCTTGTTGCGTTAATAATTCATGGATGGTTTTCCTCTGTTTACAGTTTTCTTACTATTAACCTCTTTCATTTTCATTTGCAAAGAAGTTGTAAGGATAATACTAAAGCTGGTGCATATAAGCGCATTCTTTAACTCGGTTACTGTTCCGGTGGCCTAGTGGTTAGAGTGTCCGCCTCGGATGCAGGTCACAGGTTCGATCCCCGGTTGAGTCATATCAAAGACGTATAAAAATGGTACTAGCAGCTGCCCCGCATGGTGCTCAGCATTAACAGATTAGTGCTAGGATTGGTCGGCATGGTGTCAGGATAATATAACTGGGTGGGGCATGAGGCAGGATGTTCCAGTGCTAGACATGACTATAAACTGTCCCACTGCAGACATCGTAGCAATATGAACAAATGTTTCAAGCTAGGTCAAATCTCTCTCTCTCTCTATCTCTCTCTCTCTCTCTCTCTCTCTCTCTCTCTCTCTCTCTCTCTCTCTCTCTCTCTCTCTCTCTCTCTCTCACACACACACACACACAAACGCACACAGTCCTTACAATCGCAGAGTGCGCATGTCAAACTGATCACACCCACCCTCGACAAAAGATAGTACCTTCATGAAGATAACTACTGTTACCACAGTAAGTTTCCTCTCATGGAATTGAATGCACCCCAAGGTAATTTTTTATATAAGGACATTATCTGTTGTCAATTTTGCAGTGATTGATCGTTCCTCCTTCCCGCCTACTATAGGATTGGGAGGAACTATCATTAGAAGGGGTTAAAATGAGCTTTATTTTGAAGTCTGATTGTTTTATACCCTCCATTTGTGGAGAGTCAACATTCTTCAGAGATCTGAGGTAAAGTAATAAATAATTTGCACAATCCCAAGATGCAATGTTCCTTCTTTGTTTTTTATGAAGGTTCTTCCCACACATATAAGTTACCGTTGACTTTAGGTGACCAGTCGCTGACCATAACATGAGTGACTGGGCATCAAGAACACTTGATGGATCTAAGTTTGTAGTCAGGGGTCAGGTTAAACTTCACGTCTCCACATTACCTAATCGCCCATTTACAGGAACAGGACCTACATTTATGCAAGCTACTAGAAAAGGAGATCAGACCAATTTTTCCTATGTTCCCACCTTTCTCATATTTTCTTTCCACCATTCAGCTGAGAGATTATCCAGTAATGCTATGGATATTTTTGTATAGATGTTGAAGTTCAAAGATCACCACACCTTACTCAAGTGGGGTCATCACAAAAGAAGATTGTTAGTTAGCTTTTGTCATTAAAGAATCCAATTTTGGACAGATAAGTCACTCCCCATGAAGAGTCTCAGAATATCGATGGTCTGCTTACCTGCCTTCCTTGCATAAGGATTGTGCTGGTTCTAATATTTTTGTACCCCAACAATGTCTGGAACAGGCTGATCATGATGCCTTGTTCATCATAATAGATTCTCAGGATTTCGTTGATAGGCAGAATATTACCCTTCCCCACTCTTATGATCTGAAAACTTTTTCCACCATCACCTGAAGCGGTCTAAGAGGAAGAGACATCTTTTGAATAGGCCACAAATGAAGTCGACTGCCTTATATTCCTGGTCGTAAAATTTACATTTCAAGCCTTTGCGCACTAGAGACACTAAGATTTATTCTAGATAAGAAAGACTTTCGGGGACGATGCCTAAAGCAGCTCGTTTCCTCGCTCATCTTTGCTTAGTAAACTTGAGTGCAAAGTACAAAAATTGGTGAGGTAAAATACGTGATAGCCCCCACGCTACTCTGAAATATTTAGTCTCAAGTCTCCAGTTAAATTCCTCTCCTGACATGTTACCTCCTACCCCGTTCGACACTGCTGATTCACAAGTGGGGAAAATTTAAAATTTACGCAGGAATTTCCCCATACAATGAATTTTTTAAAAACAACCTTGAAAATTGTGGTGATCTAATCTGAGATGAAAACCCTGAAAATGTCGCAAGGGCAGGGGATTTCATCCTATCTTTTGCGTACCTTAAATCATTCGAGTCCATAGTGCCAGAGTCCATAATGCCAAAGGCCAAGTCCATGGTGGCTATACATCGTACTATGAACTGTTTTCGGCCACTTTTAGTCTCCTGAAGGATGAGTTGTAAACTGCAACGGCTGTGCAAGAGCTGTTGCAAGAGGCAGGAAAGATTTTAAGGTACACATTCTCTATTTCATGGCATTATCAGTGAAGTTACTCTACCGTTGCAGACATGTTGCAATGGACACTTAGAAAGGTTTTGGTACAGCATAGCCAATTATTTTTAGGGCTTCATCAAGTGGTGTTATTCCTGCCATTGCATCTAAAGATTTTGAAGGCAATCACCTAAGGTCTCTTACTGATCTGTTGAAACCGCTCAATTACTGAATACAGCTGATCGAACTACTGGGTAAACCAGTTTCCCGATCATACTGGGTAAACAAGTTTCCCGATCAATTACTGAATACAGCTGATCGAACTACTGGGTAAACCAGTTTCCCGATCAATTACTGAATACAGCTGATCGAACTACTGGGTAAACCAGTTTCCCGATCAATTACTGAATACAGCTGATCGAACTACTGGGTAAACCAGTTTCCCGATCAATTACTGAATACAGCTGATCGAACTACTGGGTAAACCAGTTTCCCGATAAATTACTGGATACAGCTGATCGAACTACTGGGTAAACCAGTTACCCGACCAATTACAGAATAGAGCTGATCGAACTACTTGGTAATCTAGTTTCCCGATCAAGTTTACTGAATACAGCTGATTGAACTACTGGGTAAACCAGTTTTCAAAAGAAGGGTATGCACACCATCGACAAGTTAGTCAAACTTTATATTCTTCTATAAGTTCAATCTGCATGGAAACTCTGGATAGCCAAGGGCAATGCAAGGCAGTCTAATTCTTCGCTTTTACCAAGCGTGTTGTGTGGAGAGGGCAGGGCATTTTTGAGGATACATCGCTACTTCCTAACTTGATTCTTATTCCTTGATACGAGTTGTTTCTGATGGAATATCTTGTGTGTTATAAAAATTGACAGAACTCACTTATGTATCATTTTAGTGAAGCTTCGTTCGAAAATTATAGAAGTGAATTACATGACCTCCTGATAGAGGAGACGTGTTTACGGTTGAGTGAGAATTATGACTTGTTTCCCTTTTATATCATCTAGGTTTTCTTGCAAAAAATCCAAACTTCCCTCAGTACTGACATCTCTCCAGTTTAGACGTGTTTGTGCTTGGCTGATGGACTCTTTCTTTTTTCTTCACCACTTATGACACTTAGTTCTTTTGGGTATCTAAAGAAGGAGGAAGGAAGGGTAGCGCTTAAAGGGCTCAGCTGACAGTTTAGGATTCATTATCTCTAGATGGTTTCACTCACTATCAAGAGAACATATGAAAGAGATAGGTTCGTTTATGCGAAATAAAAATGCAATGAAGCATGGACTATTATTATATTACCTTCGGTCCTTATCCAATCAGTTTCGATTAATTTTTCCTCTTAATCCAAAGGTTGAGGCACAAACAGTTACCCAACTTCGTGTTATTTAGAAGCAGTGGACAATTTTCCTTAAGGTGAGTAAATTATGTTCATGTTAAGGTCACCAGCTCCCTCCTTGCTGACAAATTCAGCTACACAACAGTGACGGGTAACGTATTACAGATACCAAAATGCAGTTAGCTCTACTGGTGGTAGACCAGAGTTGATTATAGGATGATTTTTCACCGTTAGCATTAGTTTATTATCACTACTCCTCCTCAGCTACTTGCAGTGTGTTTCCATGAAACTTTGGGCACAAATTCAGCCCATGTTTTAATTGGTACTAAATGAAAACGGTGCCACTTGAACATCTAGTATGGCTGCCACAACCGCCATCTTGAAAAAGTTATCGCTACTCTTCCTGAACGGATGGTCATATTAATATGTTTTCACTAAAAGTTTCCGAAGAATATATGATCGTATTGTCGTCATTATTCCACATACGTGAATGGTCACATGAAAATCATGCTTTCACTAAAAGACTTCATATGATGTGTAGCTGTTTCTGTATAAAAATGGTTCCGATTCTATGTCAGATATGGTGTCATCACGTCAGCCATACTAAAATAAAAACAGCTCTATCTGAATAGAAAATAATATCGACATGAGATTTTCTTCAAAAGATCTCTTACGATATGCAGTTAGTCTTATATGAAAATGGTGTCGATCTGAAATCTAATGTAACTGCTAAACAGCAGCCATCTTGAAAATCTTTAACTATTTCTCCTTAATGGAAAGTCGTATTAACATGATGATTTGACCAGAATACTCATGTCTAATTGGTCCTGATAAAAAAAAAATATGCCTGTCTGATGTCATATATGTCTGCCACAGTGACCAGCTTGAAACTGTTGTCATCACTACTTATATAGAATGAATGCCTATGTTAGCCTTGTGTTTCACTAAAAGACGTCTTATCATGATTTGTTGATCCTAAATTAAAATGGTACTCATCCGACGTCCAGTACGCGGGCTTAAAATTCTTGTTTTCTCTAATCATCCTAAATGGAAAGTAATTTTGACATGGAGTTTTTATCAGAAAACGTTGGTGTGGTGTCTGGTCATCTTTGTTGATTAGGACTAACTTTTCAATGTGGTCATTAGAGAAAATATTGTTTTCTGTACTCCCAAACGAATGGTTATATATATATGGTGTCGATCGTACATACAGTATGGCTGCAAGGACTGCTGTTTTTTTCCTTTAAAAAATTAACCCTGTGCAAAAATACAAACTGTGGAGCACCACCTTAAGCACTTGAGGACATTACTGGTAATGTTGATCAAAAACAGTGCGGATTCATCTCACCGGTGATCATGGCTATTAATGAAATACTTAGAACTTTGAATTCCCAAAATACTTAGAACTTTGAATTCGATGTATGACTAAAGTGTTGAATTTTATGCTGAAGAGATACAGCTGGTCCAATATGTACACCTATAAAAAAAAAACTATTAACTCCACTTGGTCATTTTCACTTTCTGAACTTTTCATACTTGTTATATATTTTGAAATTCATTCATCGCACTTTCAGAAGCTGGTGTTGTCTAACCTGGCAAAAATCGTTTCCCCTATTATAATAACGAGAAAAAAATTCCTTGAAACTAATTAAAGATGGTTTTTCAAGCAAATGGAAGCAGCCACTTTGGCTATCTGTATGTTTAGAT